CAGCCTAAACTGGCACAGTGAAGATAAGCCCCCAAAAGTTAATGACAGTGCAGATATTTCAAACACCAGTGCAAGGGAGCTATAAATGGTGCATGTCTTAATTTTGTTTATTCATCACAGCTAATATCATCTCAATAGTTTTATTTCACATTCTGTAAGAGCGCTTTCTTTTTAAAGCCGTATTTTGGTTTAATTGGCCATCTGAAGAAGGGAAACATGTTCCCGTAGGTGTAGGAGCCCTAATTAGTTGAAAACTGGCTTCATTCGAGCTGCAGGAAAATGAGGAGCTGATTTGTGAATCAGCCATTAGACCCTGAAGGGCAAAGTATCAGCAAACAGGCTGTACCGGAATCAAGGCATGCTGTTAAAGGAAAGCATTAAGCCTTTCAGGAAGGTGGAATTCAAACACGCCATTCCAAAATTCAGTTTCCATTCAGACTCTGGGGTTAAACTTCCGTCAGATGGTCTCGGCTGACAGGGGTGTACCCTTTGAGGACATTCATCAGTTGCCACACGGCACATTTATTCACTGCGAGCAGCATTACAGCTCTTAATCCTCATAAATGGAAATGACCTTTGCCTTGCATCTTGCTGCATGTTTGATAGACAGCTTGAGTTTGCCTATTTTGCATGCAAAGCTCATTTGCTGTTTGTCCTAAGTAGATCATTGTTTCTAACTTAACTCTTCATCCAAATAAACCCTGGCTTCAAGACATCCTTGTGTGAAAACGTGGCAGTAGTCTAAGTATGAATATCTCAGTGATAAGTGGCTTTATAGAGCCCCGGCTGTACCACTGCAGATTGAGCATGTTCTCAGTGTGCCTGGTACCATCTTTCTCAAGGAAATGGCTCCAAAGGCATGCAACCTCTGCCATAAATTGCAATTGTAAGTTGCTTTGAATAAAAGTGTCAGCTAAGTGAAAAAATGTAATGAAATGTGTTTGTTCATGGCAGCTGTGGAAGGAGATGGCAGATGCAAATTATCTTTGTCTTTTAAATTAATGATCCTCTAAAAAGTTCTGACCGCCACACACAAAGAACAGTCTTCCAGTGGCACCACAAAGCGACTTCACTGCCAAAAAAAAAAACCAACTTTCCTTAAAGGCCTCAACTATGTTCACCAGCTTTAAATTGCCCAAGCAGGTGCACTGAAATGGAGACAAGTTATGGCATTCAACTTCCAGCTCACAAGAGCATTGTGCAGTTGGCTTCTAATGTTACATGCTTGGCTCTGTGCGCGAGGCTGGCCACTGTGCTTGTGAAACTTGCCCCCAGCTATCAGCACAAAGAACCCATGACTGGACCCAGACTGTTGCCATAATTGCCACTGAGTTCAGAAAATGGAGCGGCTCACAGTGGTGTGAGTGATAAGAAAACTGCTTAGTTGTTTTGTTTCCAGCCGGGTTTGTCTGGTGCTCTCCACAGTGCAAGTCCCTCTAAGTCTCCATTAGGAGCAACTCCAATACAGGCATTTTCTCCCCTTTTCTGTGATTCATTTCTTGGTCTGCCAGACACCCTACTGGTGCATAATGACGTGCTTTGGACAAACGGCTGTCTCAGCAATTCGTCCGTGCTTTGTGGCAGAGCGAAAGCCTCTTTGTGTGACTTCCATCTCAGCCTGTGAGATCGGTGCTCTGTGAGGCTCTGGCTTCGATTCTCTTGATCATTTGTACAGTACATTATCTAAACAGATTCTTCTTCTTTTAAATCATAGAAGGTTCATCTATCAGACAGTGTCTGACTCAGAGGGACTGGAGACATTTGCCTTTGTAATTTTTTTTATTTTTTTACACCACTTTCGTCCAGACTAAAATATCAACTGTTTTGTACCGACATTTATGATTCCTAATCGTTTTGTTGATCCCCTGACTTTTCCTGCAGCGCCACCATGATGATGACATTTCTGTTTTTTATTGAAATGTCTCAACAACTTTTGGATGGATTTTCAGGAAATCTAGTACATATATTCATGGTGCTCGAAGGATGACTCCTAAAGACCTTGGATGATGCCCTGACTTTTCATCTAGCGCAAACAGCACTACAAAGTTTTCACTTTTTTGGTTACACCCCAACATGAAGACTGACCAGACATTCATGCACCCTCAGGATAAATTGTAATGACTTTTGTGATCCCTTAGCTTTTCATAGGGTACCATTATCGAGTGTCCAAGCTACTAACAATTATTGTCATTATTGACATCTTTATATGTCTTGTTTTGTCTGACCATTCCAAAGGTATAAGGCACTATCATAGAAGTCTAAGGAAACCAGGAAATGTACATATTTGAGAAGCTGGAACCTGAGAATTTTGCCAATCGACAATTGTTGCAGCTCTAAGGACATTTCTGTCAGCTCCAGCTGTACTTTGTGTCAGTGTAAGATGGTGAACATGTTAAACATTATACCACCCAAACATAAGCAATGTTTGCATGCTGACTGTAGCATTTTGTCAAGTCAGTCTTACCAGAGCTGCAAGTGTGTCTGTAGATTCTTAGTCTTGTTTGACTATTAATGTATTTCTTTTGAGTGGCTTGCTTTGCTGAATTTCCTGTATTTTCTCAAGGTCACTCAAAGTTTTCATAGAGAACTACTATATGAAAAGCCACATGCCATTCACAAAGCATCTGTTATCATGGGAGCTATTACCTGATGCACTAACTACAATAGCCAACTCCCTTTGCAGCTCTATTTTCCTTGTCTTCGGATTGATGACACAATTTCTCAGTCCTGTTCCCTGGATGATTAACAGACCTTGCCTTGGTAGGCATCCTGCATATTCCCCATCACACTATGTGCTCCACAGATTTGTACAGAATTGTTGTTAGGCTGCGACACTGCTGAAGTGTGCTGAAAAGATTGAATGTTCCCTCCCCTCTGCTCCCTGAGGCGCAATGTGTATGAATCCATGTGACATATGCTGTCAGAACCAAGTACCCACATTATTATATGCATTGACTCTAAGCAGGCATGAGCTTTCGATCAAACATGCACATACACGCAGTCGGATAAATAAGCACTCTTCCCCCTAGTGTGTCCCTTGACACTTGGGGCCCTGCAGCTTCCTCCCCCCAGCCTGGCCTCGTTAATGAGGACTGGCCCCTGTGTGTTTGATCCTGCTGCCAGCCTGCAGCCCTGCGGCCCCTCTGTCTCATGCCTATTCAACAAACCCCACAGCCTCTCCCGTTACTCCCCCACTGCCTTGGGTAGATTATGGATCCAAAGCAAAAGCACTCCTGAGCGGTTGTACAATATCAAAGCCAGTCAGACTGAAACTGTGAGGGAAGAAAGGAAAAAAAAAAAAAAACCATTGGACCTGCACATTGATCTGTTCTTTTTGTTTCGTCAGATGTTCTTCAAAAAATCATCTATTGACTGTTAAAATCTATGAAGTGGTTTTGAAGTTTCACATGCCAATGAATTGGTTTCGCTGACTGTGGTCTTGGCATAAAAAAAAAACATTTACAGCCTGTAAATTGAGTCTCTAACATGGCACTTCTTCTGTTTTGTGCACAGGATGGAGGTCTGCTGATTAACAACCCCACAGCACTGGCTATCCACGAGTGTAAGTGTTTGTGGCCTAACACGCCCTTGGAGTGTGTGGTCTCACTCGGTACGGGCCGCTGTGAAACTCCTGGCAAGAACAGCACCACCTACACAAGCCTAAAAACCAAGCTCACCCACATCATCAGCAGCGCCACAGACACTGAAGGTAAGTGACAAAATGTGGTGCAAAAAAGGTGCATTATGCAATTTGACTTATTTCACAAATATGCCAGACTGTAAATGTAGTAAAGACTACCAATTGATAATAAAAAACCTGTGCTACAAAGTGGAGTTGTGCTGTTGTCCACCAATGTGTCGCTGAGCAAGACACTTAACCCCTAGTTGCTCCAGTGGTGTGCGACATCTGACATTAGTAGCAATTGTAAGTTGCTTTGGATAAAAGCGTCAGCTAAATTAATAAATGTAATGTAAAACTGCTTTACTGCTGTAAAAATGCTTTGCATTATGGGAAGTGTAGGATCTGTCGATTTTTGGAGCTTAACCAATACTAGACACTAAAAGTAAGACCCAATCTCAGCCCCTACTCTTTTAAAATAATTTGTCCCTCGTTAGCACCCCCAACTTTATGGTATAAATGCTCAATATACTAAAATACTAAATATCTGGAGTGCCCCTTTAATTACAATTATAAACACTACTGTAAAATGGGTTACATATGGTTGACTTGATTAACTTCGCATTTTATATGGGAGCTTTCAAAGCAACACCACTGCCACAGTGTCAAAAACATCAGATTATTTTTGTGCGAACAGTCCCAAAAATCATGACATCACATGCCACATCATTAGGAATGGGGATCAAGACTCTGTTCCAAAAGGACCCGGTTCCAAAATTTGTCAAAACCCCAAAATCAATTAGGTTCGAGCTTATCGAGACTTGCCTGCTCTCTGTCGGCTCACACACACACACACACACACAAACACCCACACACCCACACCGGTGTTGTGCCGAGTTTTGCCAGCCTGCCGAGAATTGCATGCACCTCGCGGGTGATAACAGTCATTTATGCTTAGAAAAGAGGTGGATGCAAATCTCGGCAGGTAGCCTACAAAATTTGATCTGCCGAATTATGCATCCACTTCTTTAGGTCCTTTTCAGACACTTTGCTGTGCTCATTGATCAAACGGCGTTATCACCACATATATTTACTATATATTTAATGGTACTTCTACTAAGTGTATTAAAATATTAAAGACGCAAAACCTTCATAAAATATATACAGTGAGGAAAATAAGTGTTTGAACTCCCTGCTATTTTGCAAGTTCTCACACTTAGAAATCATGGAGGGGTCTGAAATTGTCATTGTAGGTGCATGTCCACTGTGAGAGACATAATCTAAAAAAAAAAAAAATCCAGAAATCACAATGTATGATTTTTTAACTATTTATTTGTATGATACAGCTGCAAATAAGTATTTGAACACCTGTCTATCAGCTAGAATTCTGACTCTCAAAGACCTGTTAGTCTGCCTTCAAAATGTCCACCTCCACTCCATTTATTATCCTAAATTAGATGCACCTGTTTGAGGTCGTTAGCTGCATAAAGACACCTGTCCACCCCATACAATCAGTAAGAATCCAACTACTAACATGGCCAAGACCAAAGAGCTGTCCAAAGACACTAGAGACAAAATTGTACACCTCCACAAGGCTGGAAAGGGCTACGGGGAAATTGCCAAGCAGCTTGGTGAAAAAAGGTCCACTGTTGGAGCAATCATTAGAAAATGGAAGAAGCTAAACATGACTGTCAATCTCCCTCGGACTGGGGCTCCATGCAAGATCTCACCTCGTGGGGTCTCAATGATCCTAAGAAAGGTGAGAAATCAGCCCAGAACTACACGGGAGGAGCTGGTCAATGACCTGAAAAGAGCTGGGACCACCGTTTCCAAGGTTACTGTTGGTAATACACTAAGACGTCATGGTTTGAAATCACGCATGGCACGGAAGGTTCCCCTGCTTAAACCAGCACATGTCAAGGCCCATCTTCAGTTTGCCAATGACCATTTGGATGATCCAGAGGAGTCATGGGAGAAAGTCATGTGGTCAGATGAGACCAAAATAGAACTTTTTGGTCATAATTCCACTAACCGTGTTTAGAGGAAGAAGAATGATGAGTACCATCCCAAGAACACCATCCCTACTGTGAAGCATGGGGGTGGTAGCATCATGCTTTGGGGGTGTTTTTCTGCACATGGGACAGGGCGACTGCACTGTATTAAGGAGAGGATGACCGGGGCCATGTATTGCGAGATTTTGGGGAACAACCTCCTTCCCTAAGTTAGAGCATTGAAGATGGGTCTAGGCTGGGTCTTCCAACATGACAATGAAGCACACAGCCAGGATAACCAAGGAGTGACTCTGTAAGAAGCATATCAAGGTTCTGGCGTGGCCTAGCCAGTCTCCAGACCTAAACCCAATAGAGAATCTTTGGAGGGAGCTCAAACTCCGCGTTTCTCAGCGACAGCCCAGAAACCTGACTGATCTAGAGAAGATCTGTGTGGAGGAGTGGGCCAAAATCCCTCCTGCAGTGTGTGCAAACCTGGTGAAAAACTACAGGAAACGTTTGACCTCTGTAATTACAAACAAAGGCTACTGTACCAAATATTAACATTGATTTTCTCAGGTGTTCAAATACTTATTTGCAGCTGTATCATACAAATAAATAGTTAAAAAATCATACATTGTGATTTCTGGATTTTTTTTTTAGATGTCTCTCACAGTGGACATGCACCTACGATGACAATTTCAGACCCCTCCATGATTTCTAAGTGGGAGAACTTGCAAAATAGCAGGGAGTTCAAATACTTATTTTCCTCACTGTACTTAGAATCATTTAACCACTGATGGACCCCACAAAGACTATTATAGCGTTTAAAAGCAGTATTTGGAGGTGTATGCAATTCTCGGCAGGCAGGCAAAACTCGGCATAACACCGGCAGCAGAGCGAGAGGCGGCGCCGTTGTGGTGGCGCGCAGGTGAGGGTTAAGTTGGCTCCAAACTACTATAACGTTAGTTGATGACAGCTACGCTCGTTACTGTAAGTACGTGCAATAAAACCTTTGCAAGTAAAAAGACAATAATTTATCAATACACCTGTCTGTAAGGTAACGTTAAACATGTAGAAATGGTTAATTTAATCATCTCTGTCCTCATCCTATATGTTTAAGACAAGCACAGCTGACGCTAGCTTGGCATTAGCCAAATTTAAAAAAAAAGCTAAATAAAAAGCTGTCTGTCTGGAGAAAAGACTGGTCTGTAGTCTTAAAAACTCAGTTGCTGGCTGAGACAAACCAGCCGCTCGTCCTTCTACCTGGTAACGTTACCTGCAGCCAGCGAGAGAGGAGGAGGGACTGATACAGACTGATGTTGTTCTTTCTAAACATCACTCACTACTTATGATGTCAGATAAAGTTATTGAGTTACTTTGCTGTTGTAAACATTAATGTTGCTGCTCTAGAAACAACATTTAGCTGTAATTAATATATTGAATTAAAAACAACCAGGCAGTTAATATGTACACTTTAATATATGTTTATTTATTGCAAGTGATATATCATCTCAATATAACGTTATTGCACATTGAATATTTTCCTCATACCGTGCAGGCCTACCTCATGCCCGTTGGGTCTGGTCTTACCAAATAACCATCACTAAATAATAGTAAAGTATCCATAGTGGTATCCATAAAGAATCCAATCGTAGCTGTTTCAGCAGTTTCAATAAGGGTATCAATATCAATAAAAATTAAGGATCCCCATCCCTACACATCATCAAAGAGGAACACTGATCAAAAGATGATATCTAACCTAATGTTGCATACCATCTATTTTGGAGTTGTTTGCATTGATTTTGTTATATTTTATATTGTCTGCATTTCACACACTGTAATCACAATGTACAAAGACTTGAATGAATTATGCCCTCTGTTTCTGTGTCATTTCTGGGGGAAGGAATTAGGTTTTTATGTCACCAGTGCAGAAAATCCTGCACTGCAGGTTGACTTTGTTCTGGACATGGGCACCTCTGCTGTGCCTAAATTTGGCTCTGTTCCCTCCCTGTTGCTGCTGCTGTGGTGCAGTGTGTGACCTAGATGCTATTCTGCACTTGTTCCTCCTGTATTTGGGATTAAGCCCTCCCCAGCTCTCTAACGGGCTTTGTTATTTAGAAACATGAGATTAGCAAGTGTTTGTCACAGATTTTCTATTTTTCAAAAAGCTTCCCCCCTGTCTCAGTGTTGACAAGCCTCCTACTTTGTCTTAGGTGTATCAGTATAGCTTGGTTTGTTGTTGTGGACAGATAAGGCTGATAAATCAAGCTCCCGGTGGAGCTTGCTTGTGCTCACTCACAAACTCACTCAGTCATGTTTAGCTGATGTAGTTGCTCTATAGAGTTTCTTTTATTTCCTTACATGCTAGGATGCTAAGAGCTTCGTCAGCATTATAAATACTGGTCTGTAGTCGAAGCTCATGGCAGCTTACTGAACCCACAGGTGTACTGTCAACCATGGCACAGGTTAAAATGTGCTGCAAACTCTGTCATGGGTAAGACGGTCTGAAGTTTTTTAGAAGCTAGCAAAGAGCCAAGACTGCTTTTTATACAGCTGCACTGCAGACAATGAATAAGAGATTGTTTGATTCTTTCTTTTTTTTTTTTTTTAATAACATCCCACTGCCCACATGATAATCAGAGTTTTTAACAATAAGCTCCAAACTTGTTACGCTGAGTCTAGAGCTGCACACTGGTCGCTGATAGGAAAAGGAACTAGCTGCCATTGACTGCAGTAAATGTTATAAAAAGTTTTAATATTAATAGGATAGAGAAATAATTAACCACACACACATCAAGTCTGTCTCATCTCATATCTTACTTTTAACTTTTCAAAATGCGATAATGTAATACATTATATTGACCAGTTCTAAATATCTATGCAATACAAGTCAATAAATCTCCAAATAACCTTTAGGTACATTACTCCTTGTTGAGTTTTGCTCTAGTTGTAATAGCATTCGTGTCTGTCCTCCTGCACTGCTGAACCACTGTGGGAACACAGAGAGAAACAGCCGCTGTCACCTTTTTAGATGCTTCGGGCGTATTTACCATGTGATTGCTACCCGCTGCCTGTTTATATTCATTTGTATGTTGTTGATTTTAAACCTCTGAGACGTAGCATTTGAAAACAAGCATGACAGACAAGCCAGACATTTTCACTTGGCATTACCTCACACCGTCAACCCTGAGTGCTTACTCTCTAAGACGTGTAATGCTGCCACAGCGCTGACAGACAGGTTTGGACTTTGCACGCCCTTCTCAATGTTTGTACAATATTGAAACTATTAGGAAGTTAATTGTGTGTTTATGATTTTTGGTGTGTAAAATGTCATGTTTGTTTTTTGTGCGGCCTCACTTTCACCTCTCTTACTCCCTCCAGAGGTTCACACCATGCTTGACGCCTTCCTTCCTCCCAACACTTATTTCCGCTTCAACCCCTACATGAGCGAAGATATCTCCATGGATGAGAACCGGCACGAAAAGCTCAAGTTGCTGCAGGCTGAGGGTATCCGTTATCTGGAGAGGAACGAGGAGAAGCTGAAGAAGGTCGCCCGCATCCTCACCCAAGAGAAAACCTCCGTCCAGAGGACAGCTGAGTGGGCCAAGCTCAGGGCTGACATGTACAACGGTCTGTCCTTTTACTCCTCCAAGCTTTAGATCTAATACAAACCACCTTTACCTCACTCTTCCTTTATTCTAAATTGCAATGTAATCTTACCATGATTAGTGTGTCATAGTTGTTGCCTTCTTGACCTGTACCTCTGAAGAACATTGTGTAAGTGCACAAGTAGGTAATGTATCTAACATGCCAAACACTACGTCTTCCTCCTCACCTATACTGTATCCGGTTGCCTTTGCAGTTGGCAACACTCAACTTAACATTCAAAGAAGATGTGTCAAATGACACGTGGATTTGGGAACTCCCTAAATAGGGATCCACTGTCAGCTTTGCGTCTTACTTGAAGGAGCCCAAAGCAATAGTTCAACATTTTGGGGAATACGTGTGTGTGTGTGTGTGTGTGTGTGTGTGTGTGTGTGTGTGTGTGTGTGTGTGTGTGTGTGTGTGTGTGTGTGTGTGTGTGTGGTGTGTGTGTGTGTGTGTGTGTGTGTGTGTGTGTGTGTGTGTGTGTGTGTGTGTGTGTGTGTGTGTGTGTCTTGCTCAGTCTTACATGAGAAGATGGATACTACGCACATGTCTGTAGAGTCTGAAAGACTGAAAATTGGGAAACCGCTAGCCTGGCTCTGTCCAAAATCTGCCTACTTAGCTGTTTCCCATTTACAAACTTTATGCGAAGCTAAGGTAACTGGTTACTAGCTCTAGCTACATTTTTACCATACAGATACGAGAGTGGTATCTATCTTATTGTCTAACTTTCGTCAAGAAAGCAAATAAGCATATTTCCTAAAATGTTGAACTATAAATGCTACTGTAGCAAGTAACAGTATTTGCTGACTGTTTTACCAAGTCACCGCTTTTAACCACTTGATTTTGTTTTAAAGATTTGTTATGATGACCGGTATCTGCTCACAAACCTGTGGTTGTTAAGCTAAGTTGCTAGCCTGTAACACTGTAAAACAGTAATTTTAAATAAATTATATTACTTCATTATTTTTCTAATCAAGGCCAATTTGAGCATCTAATGCAAATGACATTTCTCAGTTGTTATGATTTAAAATTTGCACATTGAACAATGCAGCTACTGGTCAACTGTGTAATTGTATGCTGATTATAGTGACATTGGTACATGAGGGCCTAAGTATTACAGTGTTGCATATGTTGTATGTAAATGCATGTCATATTTAAGATTTTACACACAAAGATAAGTAAACATGTAACAAATTGAAAAGACTTAAGTTGCAATGATTTACCTGTAATATTTCACTCTAAAATAAAATAATAATGAAAGCTGGGGTGGGCAATTTATTTCAGAAGCTTTTTTTTTTTTTTTTTTTAAAGCCGGTATCTGTGGCTGTTGCAAGACTGTAGTAAGCACGGCCAATTATTTTATTCGGACAGAATAAAATGATTGGCTGCTGGGCTACCTGTCGCGCATTCCCCCGGCTTTAATAATAATGATAAATATGAAGAGAAAGACCACAGTACGTAAGTATCCAAATGGAGCCTTGATGTCATAAGGATGCAACTTTTATGTATTATTTTAGCCTCCGAGTATTTGAAGTTCACTTATTTGAAACACATCCTTGTGTGCTTGATTGTTTGGTTTTATGGATCCCCCACAGGCTATGCACATTTTTCGCTCTGTCTTCAGTGTGCCCTCTTTCCCTTTGATGCCTCTTCTTAAAAGCCTCTTTCACCCTTTCTACCAAATACTGTGTTTCATTCCCCCCTCTGCTATACTATATAACATTGGTGTAAAAAACAAAACAAATCATGCATTTTTTAGCTGAAGGACTGGTTTAAAACAGATAGATGTGTATTGATTTGTTATGGCTGAAAATTATCGTAATGATATGTACTGCAAAAAAAAATGCACTTGACATTCATTTCCATGCCTAACCTGGTCAGTTACTATAAATGATACAACAATGTCGGTCACTCCCAAAGGACCTGCAGTAAAATGCACACAGATATTACCCAGATTAATTTAATTCCGCTGTTTTCCTGTTGGTCCTGTGTAAAGACTGTTTGAGATTGTATGTAATTAAAAAAACATCACTGCACCTTGCTGCTTCTTGCCTCCTAATTATATGAAGATTATGTGATATTGTGATCTGAGGAAAGCTGATCATCTCAGGAAGTTGGGATGTGCGATAAAATGTTAACTTGTACTCACAACTGCTTCATTATTCCAACAGAGATCTGGACTGATACGCACCCTCACCTTCTTGGTTCAATTTCCAAGGTGCTTTGTTTGATTTACAGCAAATTCTAATTTATAAGATTACGAATCCTGGCACATCTAGAACTGCCAGTGGTTATTTTCCTTCTAACTCATGTTGGTTTGTCTAAGCGTGAAAAGGTAGGGCTGTATTTTTCAGGGGAAGATAATTTTGAAGGATCTTCCCAGAGCTGCCTGTCATAAAAGAGAGGAAGGTGAAATGAGATGAGTGCAAGGCTGTGCTCAAGCACCTGGGTAACATCCCCAGCCGTTGATGGATTGCATTTCCCTCCAGCATAAACACCGTACACTGACACAGCTCTCCACCCAACTGCTTACATGCATGAAAACGCAGCGATGGCCACAGAAGACAGAGGACACAACAAACAGCATCAACAGTGGTCTGAGGAGGAAATGATGTAGGATGTAGGCAGTGCCTATATATTGTTTTATCTGTAATTTAACAGCTTTACAAATGAATAAACAAGTGTACATTGACTTAATACAAAATAATAGAACAAATCAAAAGATTGAGATGATCCAAATATCTGTATGTGATGAAGTACCATCTCTGCCTCTGCAGCTTAAGCCGACATTGAAGAAGAGGAAAACGTCACACTGTGTTTTCCACATGCATGGTTATACTCTGAACCCTGTTATCTTAAGATGTCTGTTTGATTGTTCACTCAGTTAGAAAGATTACATCTTAACAGATCCTGAGCTGGTTCATTCAGAGAGCCAGGAATAAATAATCAATAATACCACTATCATGTGTGATTAAAAAAAAGAAGCTAAAATATGGTCAACACTGTTCTGCAGAAGTCTACAAAAGCAGAGAAACATACAGTACATTTTAGATTCACAAAAGAGTGAAGCTGCTGTTCCCTGACTTAGTGCTGATTTTTCTGACACCAAAGCACCGATGGTGGGTAATCAAGAGGCACTTCTGTACCTCAGTAAAATCATCCTTATTATCTAGCAAGTTAAGTTAAGACATCACATGACAGACACATCTTTCACTAGAGAGACATTTCTCCTCTCAATCAATCAGTCACCGGTATGGCAGCTCAGTGCATCTAATCAGCGGAGCAAGCAGCACATTGAGTTTCAATGCTGCTTTCCAGGGAGTCCTGGGTATTTCTATAATAAAACAAACAACAGGACAATTTAAAGACATCAAACAGTCTGTTGATGAACACTCTGTTATCAAGCGTTGCTTGTAGACTGTGGACCAGTTAGCGGCACTGTTATACTGAAGGCTGCTCTTCATTGCAGCAGTCCTGTCTACAGAGATTTCCAGGAGATGTGGGTCCCACCTCTTTGCTGCTAACCTTGTGTTGCCACGATCAAAACAGTGCTGTCAAGTGTCCAATGTGACTCACAGATGTACAGCTGAACGATTTTGAATCTAATTGCAGTTATTTTGACTGATACTGCAATTGCGGTATATTAGAGGGAATGATCATTTTTGCATAATTATTCTCATTTTCAAGCAAAAACACAATTATGGTGTGATTTTTGCAAGGACCAAAAAAGATGATATGTAGGACAGAACATCTCTGCAGCACAACAATATTTAAATTAAAATGGTATTTTGACACACATTTCACATTTAACAAGTATTGCATCCCCTGCGATTTGAAAATTTCTGTAGGCCATATTGCAATTTATCTACGATTTTAATTAAGTCCTACACAGACATCCCTGTCAATATGGATACTTTCATTCTGTCCTTGCCAGCTGTTTGCAGATGTTTGTCTTCAATCTTTATGTGGTCCTTCAGAGCCTGGCCTGTCATGCGACGTGTAGCTCTTGTGATCACTTGTTGAAGGAAGCTGGTCTAAACCTGTAGTGTTGTGAGCCAGACTTCCACCGTTTGATAGGGACTTTTTATGAATGCCTTTGCTTTTCTTATTGCACTCAAATCACCTGCTAACTTTAGACCTTTTAGTCTTTAGTCTTATGCAGCTTTCACTATAGGCAAGTATCTAGTGTCGTACATGATACACAAACAAAAAGACCTGCTTGTAGATACGAACTGTACTTAAACACTAAGCACACTACTTCTCTGCTTGTCTTTACTTAGCCACTGAAGCAGATTTGTTGGCCCTTAAAACTTGATAATTTGATCCAGTAGTTTCTTTCAGAGCAAATTCATATTCTGACACAGAAATGAGGAAAGGTCAAACCCTGAGATGTGGTCATTAAAAACACATTACCGGGTTTAAATGGAGAGCCCTGAGTAATTGGTGTGGTAAAAACACAGTTATTGTAATAGCAGCCAAACTTGTCAACAGAAAAAACAGTCTGAATCTCAGCCAATTTGACAGTGATTCAGCATAGTCTTCAGTGATGAGCAATGAGACGGTGCAAAACGCTTCAGTTCGTTATACAGGCATTGCAAATTGAATAATTATTGTATTACTGTTGTTGGAAATGCAAAAATGGGAAGAAATCAAATAAATGCACAAGATTTGAACTGTAAAAAACAACAGCTTTGCCTGTGATTCAGATGAATAATAGTTGTAAAACATGTTACCTACTGAAACACAGGTGCTCCATATCTGGTCACTGTGCTGTATATAGTAGATTCATGTCACGATTTTGCCCCCTGTGTGTTAACACGGTTAAGTAGCCAGTAAAGCCTGCTCCCACTCAATATAGAAAAGTCATAATGTAATTACACAGCAGACTGAGAGAGGAAATACATCCTCCCCTGATGTAAACGGATCTGACTCATGAACTTGTCCCCCGGCAGTAATCACATCAATAATTTGATTTCTTTTGCACCTTTGGCCAAACCTCCAGACTCTGAATATAAATATATCTCTTCAATCCATGTTGGGAACAGATCTCGAGGAGGTTTTGACAGGTACTGTGTTCTTCCATCTTTGTTGATATGTAACAACTGTTTATCCTTGAGGTGGCTGGGACTCAACTGCACCTCACAATTAGCTGCTGCATATAAACCCAGCTCATTAGCACTTAATTAGTTTTGGGATGAGCAGCAGATATCGAGATAAGATATTAGGAGTTTAACTGCAAAATATGATTGCCACCTTTGGAAAAAGTGACAGACAAACAAGTGATAGAAAAACAAATCCACACAGTTTGAACAAAATAAATAATTTGCCTTAAACTGTCATAAACTGTTACATGCCGGATACACAACATTGTAAATACAGTTCTTTTTGTTCACAATAATAAAACAAACATATGGCAGTGATATTGTTTAAGACTGTTGTGTTTTGATGCAAATTCTGACTATGAGCTTGCTGATCTGTGTTGAAGCTTTGTTAGTTAATCATCACCTCTGCTGGGAGCGAGTCATTTTATGGCCGGCTTGCTGGTGCTGAATCTGTTATGAAGTTTGTTCTGAAAAGAGTCAAATTATATAACACAAAATCAGTGAGGAAAACAGGCCCAACAGACCCAGTGCTGATTATGTCTCTCCCACACAATAGCCATGCCTGAAGTTTTGTATCTCAGTGAGCAGAGGATTTCAAGGGGGCACTGCAGTAATAGGCACGATAATTGGAGTTACCAGTGAGGCAGAGACGACGTCTTCTCTGGTGAGTTTTTTGCATTTCAACACAAAGATCTGGCGAGATTCACTTTGTAACTTTGCAAGTCTCCATGGTGCTGTATCCGTGAACTTATGAAAATCCCTCAGAGCATTTTAGGGATAATATGCATGGGGGAAATTAAGAGAATATTTTAATGAGATTCAAGACGTATGCAGACATATCTGGAGGCAGTCTGAAATGGGAGGCAAGGACAATTACAATACTTCCCAGTGTGGCACTATATGCAGATGTGGGTAAGAATCCCCATGTCCCCTCTGGTTGATGATGAGGGAATCTGGTGCATTTGACTCTGGGGGATTATGTCCAGCAAATGACCTTGGCTGCATGTCAACCTCTGTCTTTCTTCACATTGTAAAATATACTGTTACACAAAGCAGAAATGTCTTTGGAAACACTTCACAAATACATACAGAAGACTTGAAGAGTGAAGACAAGTGAATGAGTGTCTGGGTGGGGGATAATGGATTTTAGGGGTCATTAAGTTAATTTCTTTTGACATCTTATGATGAACTGCATCTTGGTTTATTTCCAAATTATTATCTATAAACTCATTTTCATCTTGCTTGAAATCGGTTCCACAACCTAATTTTAGCTAATCTCTGTCGACCAGCCACTCAATCCAGAAACCTTGTCTTCTTGCCAAACCAGGATTATCCTTGTAATAACTGCATCATTTCTCTCAGTGTTTGACTCTATGGCTGCAGGAGGCTACCACTGCTGAGCCTGAGATAATGCATGTGTGTAACATGCACTGAGAGAGGAGAACATGCTGGCTGGCAGCAGACTGAACTGAGAGGAAAGGTTGCTTTTAAAGTCACATGACCTCATTCAGAAGAGTCTTAGCTGATCCCAGAGGCTACTGTATGATTATTAGTGCAATACTGCTCTCAGGGCAAAATGGTAGTGTATCAGCACATGCAAATGGCTCTAAACAATTAAGGTCCAGAACAGCTGGAATTAAGTTCACTGTCATATTGAAGTAATGTGGATTTGATGTTTTATGTGAGTTTTGTTTTCATTTCCTCTTTTTAATTTTGCAGGCCTAATGAAAATGTACAGGATTATTAAGACTTTAAGGCTTGGAATTATTTCAATCTAACAATTATAATACAGCAGCTAAATTAAAAAGCTGCTCCCTGCTGTTAAATAACAAGAAAAGGACACAGCTGAGCATTAAAATACAACTTTTGACTCCCCCCCCCCAAAAAAAAACTCGTCCAGCTGTTGTTCATCTGTGGTTGTAAGCCTGTAGGA